ATTGCCTGAACCCAGGAGGCGGAGGTTGCGGTGAGCCGAGATCGCGCCATTGCACTCCAGCCTGGGTAACAAGAGCGAAACTCTGTCTCAGAAAACAAACAAACAAAAAATTTATTAATGATATATTATAATTTAACAAACTAAGTCAAAGAAAATATCTTAGCAGTATATATCTTAAGAAATTACTATACAATTAAAAATAAGACCAAAAATAAAACTGCAGAACAAAAGCAACCATGGTTTTATTAAGCAAGAGCAGCTCATGAATCATAATCAGCAGTAAACATGGCAGACATTTCCTCTACTTTCAGGCAGGGAAAAGGGGCTAGGTCTTTTCTCCAGCCAATCACCACTGCACAGGATGCGTGAGTAGGGACCAGAAGAAGAGGTTAAAAAAAAAAAATAGTGCGGGTTGGGGTAGGAAAGAGCTGGATTTAAAAAAAAATAATTAACAACATGATTATAACCAAGACAAAGAATGTCATTTTAGCATATTAACTAACAAGAATATATTGGCCTAGCACAGTGGCTCAGACCTGTAATCCCAGCACTTTGGGAGGCCAAGGCAGGAGGATCACTTGAGGTCAGGAGTTCATGACCAACCTAACCAACATGGTGAAACCCCATCTCTACTAAAAATACAAAAAAATTAGCTGGGTGTGGCGGCAGGTGCCTGTAATCTCAGCTATTCGTGAGGCTGAGGCATGAGAATAGCTTGAACCCAGGAGTCAGAGGTTGCAGTGAGCTGAGATTGTGCCACTGCATTCCAGCCTGGGTGACAGGGCAAGACTCAATTTCAAAAAGAAAGAAGGCCAGGTGTGGTGGCTCATGCCTGTAATACCAGCACTTTGGGAGGCCAAGGCAGATGGATCACGAAGTCGGAAGTTCAAGACCAACCTGGCTGAGATGGTGAAATCCCATCTCTACTAAAAATACAAAAAAATTAGCTGGGTGTGGTGACGGGTGCCTGTAACCTCAGCTACTCCGGAGGCTGAGGCAGGGAATTCCTTGAAACTGGGAGGCGGAGGTCACAGTGAGCTGAGATCGCATCACTGCACTCCAGCCTGGGCAACAGAACAAGACTCTGTCTAAGAAAAAAAAAAAGAAAAGGAGGAAGGAAGGAAGGGAGGGAGGGAGGGAAGGAAGGAAGGAAAGGAAGGGAAGGAAGATAAGGAAGAAAAAAAGAAATTTTTAAAAAGAAAAAAATATATTGAAATGAGTTTCCATCTTCAGCAGCATTATTTATAAAAAGACACATACAGTAAAGAAACATCCTATATCTCCCTTAGGAAATATACATGGCCTTTGGGTACGTCTTTGTAGCAAAAAAAGAAAAAGAAAAAAAAAAAGAAATATACATGGCCTCTAACTAAAAGACCTTCCAGACCTGTGTAAGAAATCTGCAACTCAGGGCTGGGCGCGATGGCTCAAGCCTGTAATCCCAGCACTTTGGGAGGCCGAGGCGGGTGGATCACAAGGTCAAGAGATCGAGACCATCCTGGTCAACATGGTGAAACCCCGTCTCT